TAATGTATTTGATCTTTATTATTTCAGGACCAGATTCAAATACAACCAAGACCAAGCGAAACACACAGCACCACAGAGATTTGCAACCACCATCTAAGGTTACAACAACTAAGCCTAGTCGCTGTCTACCGAATGAATCACAACTACCAGGGATTCAACTACTCCACCTTAAATAAGAAACAGTACGTAACTTTTCTCACCTTGCTGTAGTTAACCGGAATAGCCTTAACCAACGCTCTGATACCACTTGTTAGGATTTCGACCTGCTTGAACCGATTAAACTAAGCAATAACAATAAGAACACAACACGTTTGGTTAACCAGTTTCCTTTTCAGTACCTCTGGGGAGGGGATCTCTTACCCCTCAACTTCCACTATGAATCTGAGAATACAAGCTTTGTCTTTGTAGATTACAAGAAGAAGCCCTAGAGAGATGATACAACCTTACGATACAAGATAAAAAGAGATAGATATATATATATGTATCTAACCCTAACACCTTGTCACGTTTCCATCATGTGTTTGATGTTGTTGTTAGCCCAATTCTCTCTTCTCTTTATTCTTTATGTAAGTAGGCCCATTGACTTTTGGCCCAATAAATTTGGTTTTGGTTTGGTCAACCTCAGATGGTTCCTTTCTCTCTTGTGGTTCAATATCCAGTACAACAAAATGTGAGTTTGTGAACAAGTCAGGATATGTGAGGAATGAGGATGTCTCCACTTATAGGACCCAAATGGATGTATCATGTACCATAGTTTTAAGAGTGTGTATGTTAAACAACTAATTGAACCATTCATTTTAGTATGATGGGTTGCGTAAATTATGAGTTTTGAAGTTTACTGAAAACCCGTCATTAATTAAATACAAAGCTATTTGGCAAACAAAAAATAGAAAGGAAAAAGATTTAGTAGAAGTAAAAGTTAAAAAAAACTAGTAATTAAGGGTCACTTCCCGCTTGACTTGAGGTCGAACCAAAACCTACCTGCAACCACTGCGATGAAGTCTCACTTGACTTCATTTCTTTAAGCTCAATTAGCTTAGCAAA